AAAAAAAAATAGTATTAAGCTATATTATGAACACTAAAAACCTGACTACACAAGATCTAGGTTTTACATTTTGGTTACCAACTACAATATTTCAAGCTGAAAATTACGATGATCTTCAGTAGTCTGAAATCAGTTCTATTCTAGATACTTTAATGAAGTCTGGCTAACGAATTTCTAGCCCCAATCCTGCCCAAGTTCTTGAGGGTACAACTAGATCACATGGGGCTGTGCTTTAAGAGAGAGATCCACTCCCTCTCCACTCTTTTATAGGGCAAGGAGGGCATGGAGTTGTAAGTAGAAGGCAAAACCTCAACTGGGACGTGAAGGGGATTGAGTTTGGTGGTAGTCATGCAGCGACACTCCTCGTTATCTCCTGAGTGAGACTAGTTTTAGGCATAGTTCTTCCCACTGTAAAGAATGAGACCACAGGGCCTTCAGAGACTGGCCTCCACTAGTGAGGAAAAAGGAGTCCACAACCCAATTAAATTATTCATATAACCCAGCAAAAACTTCTTCCAGAGTCACTTATTGAACAATAATACATCTTGTCTTTTTGTAGCATAGTTTTAATTTTTTATTTTTGAGAATACCATACATGCATACAATGAAATATGATCATATCTACCCCCCATTTCCCCATCACAGAACCTGTCTTCCAACTTTATCCCCCATTATGCCCCTCCCACTAGTCCAGTGCTGCCCATATGTGCATGGGTGTGGGGCCACCCACTGGAGCATAGGAAACATACCAGTTGCCATAGCCTCAATAAAGGACAGTTCTCCCTCTCCCAGTGACTATCCACTTCCAATAATACCCTTTCTTTAATCATTTCACCAAGAATAGTGGCAAAGCCAGAACTTAAATTTGTGTCCTTTTATCCTAGAACCCAGTAGCAATTGGAAAGCTAGCACTTGAGTGAACAGCCAAATCCCATGCTATAGCAAACACAGGGTTGTTTCCTGTGAGTTATTTGTAAGCTGATTTTCAATTGACAAGATCAAACATGTAAATGTTTCCTAGTGAAGGTACTATTCACAACACTCTGGACACAGCTGGAGACTTGAAGATGCCTCCAATCAGGAAGGAGAGAGTGTATCAGAGTTGAGCAAAGAACCAAACAAAATCTACT